TTAAAAAATGGACAAAGGATCTAAATAGACACTTTTCCAAAGAGGACATACAGATGGTTAAGGGACACATGAAAAAAATGCTCAACATCACTTATCATCAGAGAGATGCAAATTAAAGTATCTCACACCTGTCAGAATGGCTACCATCAACAAATCAACAAACAACAAGTGCTGGCAAGGATGTGGAGAAAAGGGAATCTTAGTGCACTGCTAGTGGGAATGCAGCCACTAAAGAAAACAAAGTGGAATTTCCTCAAATAATTAAATATGGAACTGCTAGTTGACCCAGTGACCCCACTTCCAAGAATTTATCCTAAGAATATCAAAACACCAACCAGAAAGAATGTATGCACCCCTATGTTCATAGCAGCACTATCTCCAATAGCTAAGATCTGGAAACAGCCCCAAGTGCCCATCAGTAGGTGAGTGGGTAAAAAGCTGTGGTGCATTTTTACCATGGAATACTATGCAGCTGCAAAAAAGGATCTTGCTGAAACCAGTTTGGCTCAGTGGACAGAGCGTTGGCCTGCGGACTGAGGGGTCCCAGGTTCGATTCCAGTCAAGGGCATGTACCTTGGTTGTGGGCACATCCCCAGTAGGGGGCATGCAGGAGGCAGTTGATCGATATTTCTCTCTCATTGATGTTTCTAACTCTCTGTCCCTATCTCTTTCTCTCTGTAAAAAAAAGCAATAATAAAATATATTATTAAAAAAAAAAAGGATCTCCTTCATGATTGATGTTTCTCTCTCTCCCTATCCCTTCCTCTGTGAAATCTATAAAATATATTTAAATTTTAAAAAAGGATCTTTTACCCTTTAAGCCTGCATGGAGAGACCTGGAGAATATGATGCTAAGCAAAATAAGCCAGTCAGAGAAAGACAAGTATCACATTAATCTCACTTCTAAATGGAATCCAAGTAACCATTTAAGTTAAAGGCTTTCTAGTTTCATTTTCTTATTAGCACTTTAAAATCACAAACAAAAACAGTGTTTAGTTTCATTTCCTTATTAATACTTTCAGACCATTTAAGTCACAGCTTTTAAATTTTGTGAACTGATTGTATGTTGATGTTGAAAAGATCAGGTGGCAGGCTAGTAGGTAAATGAATCAGGGGTATGGGCTCGGGCCGATAAAAGCAAGAGGTATTTGCTGTAATTGTGTCACCACCTTGCCACTGTTACTCATTCCTTCACTTCATAGTGCATCAATCATTCATTCATTCAGCAAATACTTACTCAGCACCTATTATTTGCCAGGCACTGTTCTATATGCAGAGGATACACCAGTGAACAAGAGAGACAAGGTTCCTGCTTTCCTGGAACTTATGTTCTAATACAGGAAGATAGACAATAATAATAAAAATAATATTAATTAGAATAATGGCTAACATTTATTTAACAAGTACTTTTTTCTGAGACAGTTTACATGCTTTACAAGCATTAAATCCTTAGTTCTTATAATAACATTTATGAAGTACAAAGTAGAATTATTCCCATTTTACACATGAGGAAACAGGGCACAGAAAGGAAAAACGGCTTGCTTAAGATTACACAGCCAGGAAAGGGCAGAACTGGAATTTAGAACCCATCCAGTCAGCCTATAGCTAGCTCTCTTTCTCTTTAATGACTTTTCTATGCGGGCTCTCAGACAAGACACAAAGCAATACACAAATAATAGGTTTAGTAGTAGGAAAAACAAAGCAGGGTAAGATGGTGGTATATGTGTGTGCCAATTTGGGATGCAAAGTTAGAGGCCAGGGAAAACCTCACTGAGGAAGTGACATTTGGCCTGAGACTGAAGGGTACTGACAGCTGGGTTGGGGCACAGGCAGCAGAGAAAAGCTAGGTAAAGAAATCTGTCCTTCTTTGCTACTTGGCTGTGGCTAGACCTTAGTGTGGAAGATAGTGACTGATTAGAAAAGTGAGGGCGACAGGCCAGCCAGGCCACACCTGGTGGGTCCTCAGGCCGCATTAAAAAAAAAAAAAACACACAAAACTTTAATTGTTGTCCTAATTGCAATGGATCTCTGTGCAGGAGATAACACTACCGTAATTTTAAAATTCGTAATTTTAAAAGATCACTCTCACTACTCTGCAAAACTGAAGGTAGAGGACAAAAGTGCAAGCAGGATCATCTCCTAGAAGGCAGTTACAATCCAGGTGGGAAATGATAGTGGCTTGGACCAGGGCAGTGACAGTGGAATAAAATTTAGGGTATATTTGCATAGTTACATTGGCCAAGACTTGGTAAGGGACTGGATGTGAAGAGTTGACTGCAAAGGGATTTAAGTAAGAGCCTAGAGATTGGGGGTTGAGTAACTAGTGTGATGGTGCTGTACCTTACGGAGAAGTTTAGGAAGAGGGGGGAGAAATACCTTCAGTTAAGAAAAATCAATATTTACATTACTTTTTCCACTCCCTCCCCCCACCCCCAACTTAAAAAGTTTCAAATAAGATTTGGGGGGAGGGAGGCATTTTAATATTCAATTTTATGAGCTCTTTACATTAGAAACTTGAGGGAGTTGAATTTTCGTTTAGATCATTTATTGAGCATCTACTCTGTGTGACTAGACAGCATGATAAACTAAGCAAACGAGAGCCTTGCTCCCAGGGTGTTTTGGGGGTCGGAGGCGGTGGAGGGGGGGGCGGGGGAAGGAGGGAGGAGAAGAGAGGGAAAGGACGACTGATTCCCTCCTGTCCGCCGTCTCACTACAAACTTCACTTCCTGCACGAGGAGCCATCTTACCGCCGCAGCTGGTGCCCCAGGCAGTTGGGCCCACCGTTCCAAACGCCCGAAGCCAATTCACAAATGAATGAACCTCTAATCGTGACATCACCCCTCCCGCTAGAACTTAGGTTTTGGTTTTTTTAAAAATATATATACTATTTTAGCAAACAACACGAATACAACCTTTTTGCTTTGAAGGCGAACATTTTTTTTTTTTTTTGGCAGGAATGGTACCTTTTATAAAGATCGTGGTTGCCCCCGTACTTATTTGTTCTTTCTTCATATCCAATTAAAGGAAAACACTAGTTTTTTTCCGTAGCCCAACTCTCTAGGCTGGCTGGGTCTAGCTGTGGAGAAAGGCAGCAGGAGCCGTTGGATTTAAACAGTTGGGAGGAATCCTTCTCTACGCTCCCTCTCGCTAGCCGGGGACGTGGAGTCGGCTACCCGGGGCTTTCCGTCCACGCAGTGCCGGAATGAAGGAGTCTGGGAGGGGGTCGGGGAAGGAAAAAGACGGAAGAGACATTAAGTAATTGGTTCCTGAAGGTATAAAAATGATGGTTTAAGATCAGCTCGGAGGCACCGAATTCAAACGACCGCCCCCTCGGCCGTTTCGGCACCGCCCCCCGCTGACGTCACCCAGACTTCCCCCTCGGCCCCTGCGGATTGGTCACTTCCTCCGCCCTGAAGTGCGGCCAAAGGGCTCGGAGTTCACTTCCGGGTCTTGGGCTGTGACCCCCGGATGCGGAGGATTCTGGGAGCCCAAGGGCCGATTAAGATGTCTGGGTGATCTTCGGGAGGCTGCCGAATCGGAGGGACCCCGGCCAAGGTAGATCCTAGGCGGGACGAGAGCAGGGTGTCTTTCTGATCCGAGTGCGGCGGGAAAGGGCGGTTGGGATCGGAATCGCGGGCGGAGGACCCTACGTGGGAGGAGGCCCCGGAGCGGAGGCAGCACTGCAGACGGCGGTCTGCGGGGTCCGGGCCTCCCCAGCCCTCGGGGCGAAGTCAGCGAGTTCCTGCAGACTTCCCGAAGGGAGACGGGAGTAGTTACCCCGGGGCGAGAGGGAGACTGCGGCGCCCTCAGCGGCGGGAAACAGTGTCTCCCCTACTGGACATTCCTTCGCTCCCCCCCCCCCCCCTTTTTTTGTTGAAAATCTAGAGACGTACCAATTCTCCCCACATCCGCCGCACACTTGTTTTTCCGATGCTTAACGGGGTCTCAGTAGCCACTTGGATTGTTATTTTAATGTTATTTTGGCTGTTCATAACCAAAAGTAGCATAAGGCCGGGTCCCTGATTTTATCAGCACCCTTTGGGGGTGAGGTTCCTGTCTTTCGAGCATTCCTTAAATTATAACTTACAAAATATCTGACTTGTACTGTATTGGCTGCTGTAAGAAAAAGTTGGATCAACAAAAAGTCTGGAGAGTTTTGTCCAGGTAACGGTCAGTGTTTGTTTTTGTTATTTAATAACTCATGCAAAGACATTTTCCCCATTGTTTTTAGAGAGAGTAAAGGCAAGACAGGGATAAATATATTGATATGGGAGAAACACATCGATGTGGTGCCTCCCGAAGGAGCCCTGACCAGGGCCCAGGCCGGGGAGGAACCTGCAACCGAGGTACCTTCCTTGGTCAGAATCGAACCCGGACCCTTGGTCGGAGGGCCGGGGCTCTGTCACTGAGCCAAACCGCCTAAGGTGTGGTAACTGCTACAGAGGTTTAGCATACTTCATCCAGGACACGAAGTGATTAAATTACATTTGTGTGTGTGTGTGTGAGTTTTAAATATTCCTTTTGTACTTTCTAGTCTGTTTTCTGTTGTGTGAGGTTTAGATAAGATTGGAGCCATAGGGATCTGGTGGAGTTGAGAACTTTTAAAACTCGGTTATGGCAATACTGTATTTTACAAGGGCTTTGCCGCTTAGATCTCATAATAATCCTATGAAGAATACCCCCGTTCCACAGATGACAGAAACTTAAGCTTGGTCACTTGCTCAAAAGGCCACAGAGGCAGAAGAACAGGGACACAAACTCAGATCTTCATGACAGAACTTTTTGTACTAAATAGGAGTTACCTAAGAAGCCTTAATCTTTGTACACGCTGAGCCTCATTATTTGTTTGCTTGAGAACTGTTGTGTGGAGCTTATTTAAGTAAGTTTTGGAAAATGAGTTATGGAAATTACTTCACAGGGATGGATATTAATACTTTAAGAAATGAGAATTTGCCATTTGGGAAATAATCTTGGTATTATTTTTCTTCAAAGCATAAAAGATGACAACAGCAGCTCGGCCAACTTTTGAACCTGCTAGAGGCGGGAGAGGAAAAGGAGAAGGTGATTTGAGCCAACTCTCAAAGCAGTATTCAAGTAGAGACCTACCCTCTCATACAAAGATAAAATATAGGTAATGAAGACTCATTTTCCTCTTGTTCATAAAGCAAGACTGTTATGTGGCATGGTCGTGGAGATAGTAATATGTTTGGGTTATATCACTTAAGTCATCTATTTCTGTATATATTGAAATAGAATATCTAACATTAAAATTATATGCTACGATTGTAAAAAGCTACCAGGTTTTCCTTAAGCAGAAATTCCTGTTAACCAAGAATATCCTTAGGTAGATGGAAAAATAATAACATTACTTCAGAGAGACAATGCACTCTCGGTACTAATCAATATGAGAATAGAAGTGTTATTGTAATGTTCCCTAAGTTGACCTACTAACAAAAAAAATAAAGACATTTTAATGGATCTCTAGCCTTATTATGGGAATATATGTGATTCATTTTGGGATTCTTGAAATATTGCAAATACCATGTGGATGCCTATAAGTAACTCTCAGGTTGGGGTAATATCTCGTCCAATTCCTTCTTTTGTGCTGGAGGGACTCGAGGACAAAGTTGCTTTTTGTGAATTATCTTCCATTGCTACAGCCATATGTTTTCTAGAAACATTTTTGCCCTGGTTTGTTTCTACTTTAGACAGACCACTCAGGATGCCCCTGAAGAGGTTCGGAACCGTGACTTCCGAAGAGAATTAGAAGAGAGAGAGAGAGTTGCTGCAAGAGAAAAGAATAGAGATCGTCCAACTCGAGGTACCAACACATATGTCTCCTAAGATTGTTGACAATACTTTTTCTTTCACTTGGTATTTGGAGTAGGCTACTATTTGTGTTTGTTTGCTTTATTTTTTTTTAAAATATATTTTAGTGATCTTTTACAGAGAGGAAGGGAGAGGGATAGAGAATCAGAAACATCAATGAGAGAGAGAAACATCGATCAGCTGCCTCCTGCACACCCCCTACTGCGAATGTGCCCGAAACCAAGGTACATGCCCGTGACTGGAATCGAACCTGGGACCTTTCAGTCTGCAGGCCGATGCTCTATTCACTGAACCAAACCAGTTAGGGCTGTGTTTGTTTGCTTTTAAATATTGGTGTAAGTTGCAACACTATTAAATGATATGGTCAGTTTGGGTTAGATTAGATTAGAGGTGATAATAAAATTGATTCTAGTTCCATCTTCTTACGGTTCTGTAGAAGGAATAAGATGACTTGGGGATATTTAGCAGCCATTGTTTCAGTTTAGATCAAAATGTTTATAAGAGCCAAACTTTTTGAGGCCCCATGGTTTCTGCCTATGAAGTTCTCTCTTTTTTTGTTGGAAAGGCATCTAGGGGCATATGTTTCCAGCTTATGTAAACTATTCTCTAAATTTCCTGAGAGAGGCTATAGTTCCCATATTAAAATTAATGCTTTCTATGTGGTACCTTAATTAGTAAAGAAATTAATTTAAAAAATCAATGCTTTCATTAATTTTTTCAAATATTTATTTGGGGCTTATTTAAGCCAGATACTGTGGTTTTGATCCCAGTGTCATGATAGACATAATCTAGTTATTTGTACTCACAGGTGCCTAAAATGTTACAAGAAATGCAGTCTTTGTCTCAGTGAGCTAAGTGTTGTTTGTCTTTCCCAGAACATACAACCTCCTCTTCGGTGTCAAAGAAGCCTCGGCTAGACCAGATTCCTGCTGCCAACCTCGATGCAGATGACCCTCTAACAGATGTATGTTGTTTCCTCCTTTCATCTCCTTAGTAATTTATGTCATGTTTTCTGATTTTTTTTTTTTTTATTCTTTGGCTTTAACAAATGCTCTGTACTTATTTTTACTTAACTTTTATACAAATGCTAAATTTTATAGTTGATTTTAAAACAAAGTATTGCTGGTTAATCAAACTTTATCTCTGGAGAACCAAATACAGAAGAGATTTATTAAAGAATATGCTTCCCTAAAAAAAATAATTTCCCTATATATACCCATAGAGTTTGGGGTGCCATGTTATCAATCTCCAGAGGGCACTCTTCGGACTGGACGCTCGCTCTGACAATAGCAGCCCCTGAAGTTGAACTCGGGCCTTTCCACATCAGATTCCGCTGATGCCCCTCCAGAGTGCAGTCACTTACTTACTGGCTCCCTCTGTGCTGAGGGAGGGAAGTGAGCTAAGTGGGAGATCTTAAGGATGAGTGCTTCAGTGACATGGAAATCCAATGGGACCTACAGTTAATTTGCAGTTTTCTACTTACAGTGAAATCTGAATGATCTTTCATGAGTAGCATCTGATTAAGCACATAAATCAGCAATTCTAACAGATTGAATTAAATAATTCAGTAAATATAGGGAACTCAGTGAGACTAATGATTATTCATTTAAAATTGGTTTCTTCTGAAAAGTTACTGCCCTTTTAGTACTTTCAATTATCCTAATAGGTCTAACTTTTAGGCTGTATAAAACTATTTTAATTCTTAGGGTGATACACTATGTATATATGTGCTATGTATATCAGTATAAAGTTTTCTTTCTAGTTTTAGAAATATTTTTATGTCTAAATTTCCTTTGACCATGTAAATTTGAAAGGTATTTTATTATACTATTTGTTGTTGCAATCTCTAAAACATAACAGGGGTTGACATTTTAGTGAGTTTTCATAAGCTTTTTTGTGGGTTTTGTTTTTTGTTTAGTTGTTGATTTTAATAATATCTAGGTGCACCTATCTCTCCCACTGGGAAAATTAATCCTGCTCCAAAGACCTGGCAATTTTTATGGAGGAAAAAAATAATAATGTGAATTTTCCCTTCAATGGGCCATCATATTCTTTTTAGGAGGAAGATGAAGATGAAGATTTTGAAGAAGAGAGTGATGACGATGATACTGCAGCTCTTCTTGCAGAACTAGAAAAAATTAAAAAAGAAAGAGCCGAAGAGCAAGCCAGGAAGGTAAAATGAAAGTGTTAAATACTTACACCTTTTTTCATAAACTAAAGTAGAAATATTTTTAAATTCAAATAAAATCTTATATTGGATATTGTCCTTGGTCTGTCTAGATATGACACCTGTAGATGTATAAATCTGATAAATTTTTATGGCATTTTAAGTCGCTTGGTAATGTGGGAAATTCTTTCCAAATAGTTCAGGCATGCTTAATAATAATTACTCATCTTGCTCTTTATCCACTTATTTGTTTCTTTGCTCAGCTGACATTTAGTTAATGATTATTAAGTGTCAGAAGAATAAAAAGTGATTTAGTCATGGCCTACAAAGAACTCATGAATATAATGATGTCATCTTCTTTTCTCCCCTTGTCTCCCCTGTCTCCTGCTACAGCCTACTTTCTAGGCACTTGTTGAAGCAGTTTGTCAATAGATTTTATATAATTTAGGACATTTTACTTAACTTCTCTGAGTCTCCAAAGTCTTTCAATTTACACAAAAGGAGAAAAGAATATCTAACTCGAAGACAATTGTAATTAAATAAGACACATAGTAATAAAAATAGATGAAATTGGAGGCAAGAACAGGTCAAAAGCATTAGAGAGCTTGGCCAGCATGGCTCAGTGGTTGAACTTTGATCTATGAACCAGGAGGTCATGGTTAGATTCCTGGTCAGGGACATGCCTGGCTTGTGGACTGGATGCCCTGTGGGGTGCGTGCAGGAGGCAGCTGATCAATATTTTTCTTTCATCATTAATGTTTCTATCTCTTCCTCTCCCTTCCTCTGAAATCAATTTAAAAAAATATTATAAACCAATGGTAAAGGAATTTGGACTCTGTTTTGAAGAATAGGAGCAGCTGGTCAGTTTCAACAGGAGATTTGTGAGATAAGGCATTTTAGAAAGATTATTTTGGCAAAAGTATGGAAGCTATTCCAATAATCCTCACATGCAGTTATGATAATAGTGCTTAATAGGAGTTGGAATTAAAAAAAGTAAACAGATGCTGATAGGAGCTATCAAGGAGGTAGAATTGACCAAATAAATTGACTGATCAGCTCTGGCAATAAAGATGACCCCATTTTCTGGGTAGATTATATGTCGGTGCCATTCAGGAACGGAATACAGAAGGATGGGTAGAGAGAAAAGAAAGATGATAGAGAAGGGAGGTGGAGAGAGAAGAGATGATGAGTTCTGTTCAGAACATGTTGAGTTGGATACTTGATACATTATGAGATGTCCAAGTAGAGATAACTGTCTGCCCTTTCAAGCAGAACAGAACAGCTGTTCTATGGCATCTGGGTAAGATGTCATGTGAGCCAAAATTGTTCTGTTTTAGAAAAGAGGAAGAAGACTTAGAGAAAAGACTGGCATAGGTTAATGCTTGGAATCTAGGGAGGTTGTAGAGTTATCAGACGGGCCATCAGAAAAGAGATCAAGTTTGGGATAGGCTTTGAGGACTGCTAGAATTCAGATTGGAAGAAGAAAAATATTTTACTATTCAATTATCAGAGTTTGGCATAATTTCTATAATAGCTTATAATTTTTACATCTATTGTAGAAATCAAAGAATTTAAGAGCAGACATTTCTCAAATCACTTGTACACCACTAGAGGGCAATTGTTCTGAAAGCAATTTAAATACTTTGGCTAACCTTTAAGGAAGATAAACATTTCAGGAGATCTTGTAATTTTGTGCGGTTCATCTGGTCTCTGTACAAAAATGTGTTGGTGTTTCTTTTGTTTCCTGTTGGCCTGGCTTTCTAGTGGTTGCTTTTGTGTGTCCTAAAAGAACATTTCAAACCAGTCTGCCCATATCAAGGGTTGGAAAGCTTTCTATAAAGGGCCAGATTATAACTACTTTAGGCTTGTGGGCAACATAGCCCCTGTCACGATTGTTCAGCTCTGCCTGTTGTAGCACAAGCAACCACAGACAGGACATAAATTAATAATGTGACTGTTCAAATAATTTTTTATTTAAAAAACAGGGTGGTTTGGATTTGATCCCCATAGTGTGCCTGGTACTTGAATATGGAAAGAGTTGGCATCTTTTTTTCCAGGGCTGTGTGTAGCAACCAGCCAGTAACTCCAAAGAAAATATAACCCAAACACAGAATAGCCAGGACCTTATTACATCCCACACATTGGTATAGGTTTGGATACATTGTATACTTGAGCTCCTATTTTCCTAGCATCTCAGAGTAATCTTAAATTTCGGCATTAATATAATTCGTTAAAATATAAATACATAGTTTTAGAAAGCTATCTGTTCTTAATATATGTGGATGTTCCTGACTTTATTAAAGGTCTGAGCAATGGCCTAAATTATTCTTTTCTCCTGAAAATTGCATTTTACCGCCTTTCAGTTATTTGACCTCATAAGAAAATGAAATCCACTGTTCACAGTTGAATGTTGGGGGAACTGGATGGGGAGGGACGTAGAGGGATTTAGCAAATAAAAGAAGACGACCATGGACAAGTGTGATTGTAGAGGTGGGTGAAGAGGGAGGGTATAGGGGAGATAGATGGTGATGACAGAAACTGGACTTTGGGGTGGTGAACACACAATTCAGTGTACAGATGATGTGTTGTAGAATTGTGCACCTGAAACCTGTATAATTCTGTTAACCCATACCACCCCAATAAATTTAATTTAAAAAAACAACTGAAGTATTGCCGAAACCGGTTTGGCTCAGTGGATAGGCCTGCGGACTGAAAGGTTCCGGGTTCAATTCCAGTCAAGGGCACGTACCTTGGATGCCGGCACATCCCCAGTGGGGGGTGTGCAAGAGGCAGCTGTTTGATGTATCTCTCTCATCGACATTTCTAAATCTCTCTCTCTCTCAATTCCTCTCTGTGTAAAATCAATAAAATATATTATTTTTTTTAAAAATGAAGTATTAACCTGTACTGAAAATCAGGTTATTTTTCCAGGTGGTTTAACCTAAGTTTTATTTATTTATTTGTTTGTTTGTTTGTTTTGCTGCTGTTAATTCTCACCTGAGGATATTTTTTCCATTGTTTTTTTAGAGAGTGGAAAGCAGAGGGGGGAGGGAGAGGGAGAAAGAGAAACAGATGGGAGAGAAACACATTGATTGATTGCCTCCTACATGTGCTCCAATGAGGGCCAGAGATTGAGTCTAAAACCCAGTACGTGCCCTTGCTCAGGAATTGAATCCTGGACTACAAGCCAACAATATTTTAACCACTGAGCAAACCGGCCAGGGCAACCTAGGTTTATTTTTTATTATTTATTTATTTATTTATTTGTGTGTGTTTTTTTATTTTTTTTTTTTTTCACAGCAAACATAAAACTTTTATTCCAAATCACATATTTGTCAACTTTTAAAGTAGAATCAAGAGAGATTTTCTTTAAAGTGAAACAAGAAAATTGAAATAGTAACTTATCTGTGAATGCTCCCATTTATTTATTAATAAATAAATAAATTTTATTAATAAATTAATAAATAATTTATTTATTATTTATTATTTATTTATTAATAAATAAATTATTTATTTATTTATTTGTTTACTAACTTACTTATTTTTGCCCTTTCAATATTTATTCTTTTTTTATTTAATTTATTTTTACATTTTTTTTTTTTTTTTTTTTTTTTGCCCCCCTTCCTCCCTCCCACATATCCCCTCCCTCCCCAGAGTTTTATGTCCATTGGTTGTACTTATATGCATGTATACAAGTCCTTGGGTTGATCTATTATCTCCCCCAGATCCTCCTCCCCTCCCCGCTGTAATTTGACAATCTGCTTGTTGCTTTTTTTTTTTTTACATTTTATTTATTTATTTATTTATTTATTTATTTATTAAATAAGTTTTTATTGTTCATATTATATCAAATGTTCCTTTTTTCCCCCCCACCATTGCTCTCCTCCACCAGGTTCCCACCCCACCCTCTGCCCTTTCCCCACTCCCCATTGTCCTCATCCATAGGTGCACAGTTTATGTTCAGTCTCTTCCCACGTCCCCCTCTCCCCTTTTCCCCAAGAATCGTTAGTTCACTCCCCTTCCGTACCTCTGATTCTATTATATTCAACAGTTACTATTGTTCATCAGATTTTTTTTTTAAATTTCCTTGTTTTTTTGATTCACTTGTTGATAGTTACGTATTTGTTGTTCATAATTTTTATCTTTGTTTACTTTCTCTTCTGAAAGAACCCCCTTCAGCAATTCATAAAATTCTGGTTTGGTGTTGATGAACTCCTTTAGCTTTTTTTTATTAGTGAAGCTCTTTATCTGACCTTCGATTCTGAGTGATAGCTTTGCTGGATAGATTATCTTTGGCTGTAGGTTCTTACTATTCATCACCTTGAATATTTCTTGCCATTCCCTTCTGGCCTGCATGGTTTCTGTTGAGAAGTCAGCTGACAATCGTATAGGTGCTCCTTTATAGGTAACTACCTTCTTTGCTCTTGCTTCTTTTAATATTCTCTCTTTGTCTTTTGCTCTTGGAATTTTAATTATGATTTGTCTTGGTGTGGTCCTCTTTGGATTCCTTTTGTTTGGAGTTCTGTGCGCTTCCTGGACTTGTAAGTCTAATTCTTTCCCCAGGTGGGGGAAGTTTTCTGTCACTATTACTTTCAGTATGTTTTCGATATCTTGCTCTCTCTCATCTTCTGGGACCCCCATAATTCTGATGTTGGTTCGCTTGAAGTTGTCCCAGAGGTTTCTTACAATATCTTCAATTTTCTGGATTCTCTTGCCTTCTAGCTTCTGTGGAGGAGTGTCTTCTGGCTCTTTATGTTCCAAATCTTTTTCTTGATTCTTGCGATCTTCCCTTCTGTTTTTAGGACTCTGTAAAATATTTTTTATTTCAGACAATGTATTCTTTATTTCTTGTTGATCCCTTATCATTTCTTGATGACTCCTTATTAATTCTAGTTGATCTCTTTTCATATCCTAATAGGTCTTATCCATCTTTTCTAGGAAATTCTTGAAAAACCTTATAAGTGTAGATTTGAATTCTATATCCAGACCCTTTTTGTCCTCCATTTCTTTCATTTGTGATCTATTTCGTTGTCCTAGGTTTATTTTTTAAATAGACTTCCAGAAAGTCTTTGTATCCATGCCTGATGAAGTTATTAATTTATCACCCCATGACACGGCAAATTGGGATTTATCTTTGGGTTAAGATAGCATGGAATCAGGCAGGTCTAGAAGTTATGGTTATGGATTTTTAGACATTTTATCTTCCTAATTTTAAGAATGAAACTGAGGGGGGTTTGAATTTAAAGAAGTTCATGCTAAAATATGAGTGAAGAAAGATAAGCTTGTAGTTACTTATCTACAATAGTAAGGTATTAGAGATATAAAAATATAAAGTAACAAGTCATAAGGACAAAATGATAAGCTTCAGGTAAATTTGTATGTTACCAATATAATTTTGATAGTTTTGTCTTATTTTAGGAGATACTTTTTGGTTAATAAAACTTGTCAACAATTTTAGAAATTCATGTTTACATTGTTAGTAATGCAAAACAAAATATTTATATTCAGTTATATATAGTCTTTTAAAATTGAGATAATAGCTTTGCTCAATGTCTTTTATGTCTAGTGTATATATATTTAAAATATACATGCATTTGCCCTAACCGGTTTGGCCCAGTGAATGGAGGGTCGGCCTGCAGACTGAAGGGTCCACAGTTTGATTCCGGTCGGGGAGTGTGCCTTGGTTGCGGGCACATCCCCACTAAGGAGTGTGCAGGAGGCAGCTGATCATTGTTTCAATCTCATTGATGTTTCTAACTCTATCCCTCTCCCTTCTTCTCTGTAAAAAATCAATAAAATATACATGCATTTTAAAATATATTTTTAATTTTAGAGAGGAAGGGAGAGAGATAGAAACATCAATGATGAGAAAGAATCATTTCTTGGCTACTCCTGCAAGCCCCCTAACTGAGAATGGAGCCTAAAACCTGGGCAAGTTCCCTGACCAGGAATCAAATGGTGACCTCCTAGACACTCAATCACTGAGCCACACCAGCCAGGCTAGTATACTTGAATCATTTGAATGTTTAGTGGTCTACTCTCTTAAAATAAGCAATTTTGTGATTACTTCAAAAAAGAAAGATTTAAGTATGCATCTGAAGAGTTTTAGAGTCAGAAGACAGTAATGAATGATACATGCATGAAACATAATAAAAATATCGAATTTTATTTTGAAAAGGAAAACTTTCTGGTATGTCTTGAAAACAAACAAAAAGCAACACTACTTTAATTCTTATCCCTAACAGTCTTTTACTATATGAGTTGTATAAGATTGGCCCTAAAGTTACTATAAGTAAATATGAATCTTCCCTTGTCTTTGACAGGAACAAGAACAAAAAGCTGAAGAAGAAAGGATTCGTATGGAAAACATTCTGAGTGGAAACCCTCTCCTTAATCTCACTGGCCCATCCCAGCCTCAGGCCAACTTCAAAGTTAAAAGAAGGTACTATATATAGTAATCATTTGAAAGTACATACGCACATGAGGGTTTTATAGCAAACTATAAAGCTTTTAAAATCACACTTTTCACTGATAATCTTCTGTGTCCGATTTTGGAATAATGGGAGGAGACTGAAAGGAAATAATATATTTTCCATAGATATTTACAGTAACCAGCTACTATGGTAAGCATTAGAAATGGAGCAGTGCACTGAGCCTTTCATCCTATGAAGTTTACATTTTAGCTATCTGTGTCAAGATAGCTAAAATGTAAACTTCACATTCGGAGACTCACTAGAAGGTCTCGGGACTCAGCTTATAGTAGTTGTATTTATGACAAACAGTAAAGTTACACAGCCAGATCATAAGGGGAAAAGGAATCCAGGTGCTCTGTCTCTTCCATGAGGGCCACACACAGCACATCCTTTCCCCTGGCAATGAAAATGTGAGATGGTTCTGCCCAGGGAAGCCCTTTAGAGACTCCATGCCCAAGAGTATGGGGGACTAGTTATAAAGGTGACCTCTGCCTATCACATACCCAAATTCAGACTCCCAGAAGGGAAACAGGTGTTCCACATAAACCACATTGTTTATACAAAGAGTCTGGTACATTGATAGAAGATTCTTGGAGTCCAGGTTCCCAAATGCTAGCTTAGGGCCAATCTTGCAAGCGGCACCTTTCTAAGGATAGTTTTAGGCCTACCATGTTTACTCTTCTCTATAGTGTGCGTGTTTAGAGGGGTGAAGTAGAAGGCAAAAGAGGAAGAGATTTTTAACAATAAATACTGACTATAGCCCTGTCCAGGTAGCTCAGCTGGTTTGAGTGTCATCCTGGTAAGCCACTTAGGCTGTGGGTTGATCCTCGATCAGGGTGTATACAAGAAGCAACCAGTGAATGCATAATTAAAGTGGAACAACAAACTGATGATTTATATTCTCTCTGACCCTCCCTCTCTCCCTCTCCATCCCCTCTTCCTCTCTCTAAAGTCAATTTAAAAAAATTTCTTTTAAGTTATCTGCTACATAGGAAAACCATTATTAAGCAAATAATCACTACCACCCTTAACAGAAGCAAAATAATAACTGAATATAGTACTTGAGATAGTGATACATAGGCAAATAAAACAGAACTGTTTATAAGAAATGCTGAGTGAAAGGAAGCTTGATTGTTATTTTGTATAAGGTGATCAAGGAACCCTTTAGGCTTAGCTTTCACACCTATCTGATTTCTCACCAGCTCCACTCCTCCCACCTCTAATCTAGAGTGATGCAGGGCCCTCACTGGTCTGTTTACGCTCTTATACTCTCCTTCCCCACCCCCAGTTTTTTCCTAACAGCAGTGTTGTGGTCCTTTTAAAATGAAAAGATCACAGTCTCCTGTTTTGGGCCATCCCATAGCTTCCCAACTCATTTATAGTAAAAACTCAGCTCCTTATAATGCAAAGCATTGGTTGAGGGCAGTAATTGCCTGGCAGCTGACATTTTAGTAGAGGTCAGACTCTAAGGTATTTGAGCTGAACATTAAAGGATAGAGATGGGGAAGAATGTAAATAAAAATAGTTGAGGGAGGTGATAGATACAAGATGTCAAGTTCAGAATGTTATATAAATCTATGAGGAGATGTTGAGTTAGGTAATTGGACGAGTGGTTATGGAGTGAATCCAGGCTAGAAACAATAAATTTGGGAGCTGTCATCCTACAGAAGTTTTCTAAAGCCACCAAGACTGGATGAGGTCACCTAGAGAATGAGCACAGCTAGAGGGAGAAGTCAGAGGACTGAGCACAGAATAATGTTTAGAGAGTAGATAGGTGGTTAACTATCAATACCTGGAACATACTGGGTACCCAGTACATACTATGTGCCCAGTAAATATTGATTAAAAGAAAAAATGGGAAAAAACAAACAAAACAGGCTAAGAAGAAGTGAGGAAGGAAGCGAAGCAAAAGAGATTGGTAAGTGACTTGGAAGCCAAGTAATCAAAACTTGCTTTCTAAAAGAGGAGAGTGATAGGTCAAGTAATGATGACAGGGCAAGTAAAATGAGTGCTGGAAAGTGGCCATTGGGTTTAGCAACATGGGAGAGCAAGTTGATGTTGAGAAGGAGGCTAAAAGCCTTTTGGGAATGAGTTGGAAAGGTGGATAGAGGAAAGACTACATCAAATATATTGATCTTAAAGTCTACTTGGTTCTCCTGCTTGTTTAAATCCAGATAGAATTGTGTGGCAACAGCAACAGTTGACCCAGCTCTGCTCAGCTTTTCACTCACCTGTGTCATGCACCATGATGAGTTTACTGACAGATGCCTTTGCTTATTTTCCATGTGCAGTGTCTTCTGGCATGCAACTTGTGCATACAAACACATTGCATGGGCTTCCATTTTATATGTATTTGTTAGAGTATATATATTACAGAGTGGATTTTGTTTTATAGGCTAGATGACATTTTGAAATTACATTCTTGGTTTTCTATAAAACATTATTTTGTAGCCCACTCATGGGTGTTCTTTTTATGTTTGTGCATTATGAAACTCAACCAGAAGAATCCAACCACAATCCTGCCCTAAGCTCTTCAACTTCTGTGTCTTCATGGTTAATGCAGATATGTGACAATATATGAGTGTTATTGTTATATGCCAGTACTTCTCCTTTTGTTGTCCTAAAATACAAATACTGTAGTGGATGATTACTAAATGTTAACTGATGAACGAGTAGATAAAATACTTAAAACCGAATAATCTGAATTACAGTAAATTGGTCAGTTATTGTCTAGAGTTGGGTACCAGGTACTGCCTCTTTGCTTTAGAACTGAAAACATTTGATATTTATGCAGTTAAAGTTTATATATTTCTGTTTTCTTTTTTTAAATATATATATTTTACTGATTTTTTTACAGAGAGGAAGAGAGAGGGACAGGGAGTCAGAAACATCAATGAGAGAGAATCATTGGTCAGCTGCCTCTTGCACTCCCCCCCCCCCCGGGGATGCTCCCGCAACCAAGGCACATGCCCCTGACCAGAATCGAACCCGGAACCCTTCAGTCCGCAGGCCGACGCTCTATCCACTGAGCCAAACTGGTTTCGGCTATATTTCTGCTTTCTGAGTTAGTCAAAGCATCTGTACTGGTGAAGTGAGAAGAATGTTTTATATGTTCTAATAGGAATTCCCCTTTCTGCTGTGATAGAGCAAGATCACATTCTGTCTTTGGGGCTTATGTAATTGCTGCCTCAATACGTGTGGGCCATCTTTCTGTGTAATGACTAAGCTTTGCAATTCACAGGCTGTATCTCCTGATACAAGCATTATAAGAACATTTTATTTTCTTTTTCTTCAGGTGGGATGATGATGTTGTTTTCAAGAACTGTGCAAAAGGTGTGGATGACCAGAAGAAAGACAAAAGATTTGTTAATGATACGCTGCGATCTGAATTTCACAAAAAGTTCATGGAGAAATATATTAAATAGTACAGTTTTATGTGCTTAATTAAAGACTATAAAATGTAAATGATCATTCTGACTTCACTTTGGTTAGTTTTGGGTTTTTTTCTTTTCCCCCTACATTTAAATTGTGAATAGGCTTTGCTTATTTTAAGATCCAAAATATCTTTTCCTTGATTGATACCTTATTTGATAAGGACTTGGGAATTGTTTTAAACCAGTTTCCAGTCTCTGAATGTTTCCAGTCAGGTACTCTTCCAAAGGTAATCTGCTTAATAAATATTTTTAATGCTCTAAGTAACCAAATTCATGTCCCCAAACTTTTTTGTTGAAATGTATGCAGCTTATGAAACATTGCATATTTTCTTTTGTATATTGTATTTCTTGTACATTAACTTTCTCCTCATTTCTCTAACATGGATTTAAGGGCAGTTAATTCATGATATCTATCTGTGTTTTAAGTATGATGAAGGATTAAAGGGCATTGGCCCATATGATACAATGGAAATGTGTCATCAACTAGGAAGCACCTGATTTGTGTGAGGGAGCACAGGGTATCTTACCTTCCCAGAAGCTCCCTGGCCTAAGGCAAGAGCTCCTGAAGCTTGCCGAGGAAGCATGTGGCACTCACCTTTTCTCCTGGAGACTCAGCTACCATGTTTCTGTCAAATGAGATAGAGTCTGCAAACTGCCACACGTTAGATGCAAAGCCTAGGGAAATTGTAACATCAAACAATACATGAAACTTTTGGAACCTGGCCGGTGTGGGTCAGTGATTGAGTGTCAACCCATGAACCAGGAGGTCAGGGTTTAATTCCCAGTCAGTGCCTATGGCCCAGGTTGCAGACTCTATCCTCAGTAGGGGCTGTGTAGGAGGCAGCCCATCAATGATTCTTACCTCTCTCCTCCTCTCTGAAATAAATAAAATGTTTTTAAAAAACCTTTGGAAATTGGATTTTGCTTATTTGTTATCTTGGGAGTATGTGTACATGGAAAGTGGAGATGTCTACTTAGCAAGGAAATGAAGTTTTCATAAACCCAGGCTGTGATTTCTACAAATAGGAAGTTTGGGACCAAACATTGAGCCTTTTACAGATATACTTAAAGACCCATTCTAAGACCTTACCCACGATAGCGTTAGCCCAGGGGAAGCATGGATGGATGCATGCAGCCCTAGTCTGGAGTAGAGCTGGAAATGGAGCGCAGGTGGACTTGCTCATGCCCTGCACGGTATTGCCCAACTGAACTATTGACTCAAGATTGTGAATACTTGGACTTTTTTTTTTTTTTTAATTATATGTTTATTGATTTTGGAGGAAGGGAGAGAGAGAGAAAGAAAGAAGAAACATCAATAATGAGAGAATCATTGATTGGCTGCCTCCTGCAGGTCCCCTACTGGGGATCGAGTCTGCAACCCAGGCATATGCCCTGACCAGGAATCAAACCCTGATCTGGTTCATTAGATGCTTAACCATTGAGCACACTGGCTGGGTGACTAGTGTTTTCTTTAAGCATTTAATAATAAAATAATTTTAATCTTCAATTTTACAATTTAAAAAGTGCTTTTGCATTTATTTTCAATTTTCTTCATAGCAACACTAACAGGAACAGTACCAGATTATTCAAAGATAAAAATGAAATTAAGGCTAAGTGATTGGATCAAGATTTATACATGATGGGACATGAATGAATGCCTTAAAACTACATGTAAATGTGCTTACAGGGGTGAGCACCATTATTAGGTTTCCCATATGGGTCTGATTAGGTGCACCGCTACTTGGAGATCCACTTCAGATTTCCTGTTTCTGTCTGATGGGTTCAGGGAGAATCAGAATAAGGCTGATTTCCATTTCTCCCTTTCCCTAACATTTTACAATATAAACCAACGTTGTATAATCAGTCATTGGTGCAGGACACATAAATGTTCATTTCAGCTCAGATTTATGGAGCAAGAAACAGCCTTAGCTAAAATGCCTTGCTTCCTCATTGCCTTCCTCTTGTGTTGCCTTGAGGGAGGAATCTGTCCATGTCCAAGGGCCCATGCTGAGCCAGGGCGCTGAAGCCAGATGGACCTGGAGATGACACCCAGCTCTGTCACCTGGGGCTTTACTAGAACTGCAGCCATTTCATTGACACCACTCCCTGTACAGTAGGCATTCTTTTCCCTGTTTTTGCAAGAAAACTTGAAAAAACAAAGCCATAAATCCTTAAGGGGATGGGGCCAGGTTCAAACCTGGACCTGCCTTTATTCAAAAGTCCATCCTCTTACCGGGGTGTGTTGGCCTCTGTCAATGAGCCCTTCTGGGGATCGAGTCTGCAACCCAGGCATAGTGAGTTTTCTCACTATGAAACCATAGTAACAACTGCAAGGACGGTTAGTGGGAATGGTTGATAGGACATGTAAGTGTGGCAGGCACATGGGGGTTTCACCAGCCAAGAGCAGGGCTGTTGGAAGTTTGGGAGCCTGTTCTGTTCTATCATAAAGGTCTAGTTTTGAATTAAAAGTTTCCCTAGCCCCTCAGAGCTTAGGTTGGGCAATAGGTATGGCAGTCAGGGATGCTTTTGCTTGGTTCCTGAGATTAGAAAGCCAGTAACGGAAACTCAGTGAAATAGAGGTTAATGTTGAGAATACTTAAAAGGCACCTCCTGTGACCAGCTTATTCTGCTTCTCACTATTCATCTGCCCCCCTTCTGCAAGACTAGATTTCTGCACCAAAAACAAACAAACAAACCTAGAGGCCACTCATTCATACTCGCAGTGTCCCTATAAGGGAGTCTCCATAGTTCCACTGGCCAACAGAGCATCTGTGTTCTGAGACAAGCTGGCCCACTGAGCAGTGGACAGGAAGCGGGGTACCCAGTACAAATGTGGGCAGTGGCGGCGGTGGTGGTGGTGTGTCAACAGTACACACTCTAGAACTGACATGGCTTGAAACACTCGGCCACTCACATGGTAGCAAAACCTGGAAATACATTTCAGCTGTAATTCCAGTCTTAGGGATAGTGCCTGCAGCTTCCCCCAGTGCCTGGCACTATGCTAGGGACATAACAAGGGCTGCCCTCTGTGCTCCCTCCTGCCCCCTGCAGGCCTGGCACAGGCACAGTCAGGGTCTGGTTCTCACCCAGCACAGGTGGAAGAGCTGGGACCCAGGGCGCAGAGCCTAGGAGTCCTGCTGAGAGCAGGGCCTGCTGGGCCAGCTTCCTGATGAGCCCTGGGAGCGCCAGCACCAGGGAGCACCTTGGGGCCTGTCCTGTCTTTAAGACACCTTAGAAGTAAGGCTAATTGGATTGAACTACTTCTGGATGGGGAGGAGGGGAACAGGGGGAATCCAGTGAAAGGGAGAAGAGAAGACCTGGTGCTTCTAACGGCTGGGTGTTGGCGCCCATTCCCTCTTCCCTAGGCCAAGGTTTGCGGACACAGGCCCAGCCTTGGAGACACTTTCAGCAAGTGCTAGTGCTGGTGGACCATGGTGGTGGTGGTGGTGCTGGGATGCAGCATTCAACGCTTTCCTCTGGCCATTCCTACCTCCTCCAGCCACCCCTCCCCACTCCTCCAGCTAGCCGCCTCTTCCCACCATCCCTGGAACATACCCTTGTTCATACCCTTCAATAAACATCTGCCACTTAGGAAAGATAATGGGAAGCAATCCCATTCATGAAAATGTATAACGCATAGTCATAAACCTAACACCTCTAATACTCTACTGTGGGGCATTAAAAATATGAGGCATAGCCCTGGCTGGCTTCCCAAACTTTTGACATATGTGCACCCCTTCTATAATTTTCGTAACGCTGAGTACCCCGCGTACTCATGAGAACGTAGAATTAGGCGCAGTTAAGCACAGTGCAGTGCATATCCCCACCAAATTCCAGTGCAACGCGTACCCCTGGGGGAACAAGTACCACACTTTGGGAAACACTGGTAGAGGATATGCCTGAGGACTGAGGAGTCCCAGGTTGGATTCTAGTCAAGGGCACATGCCCCGGTTTTGGGCTCGATCCCCAGTTGGGGATGTACAGGAGGCAGCCAAACAATGATTCTCTCTCATCATTGATGTTTCTATCTCTATCTCCTTTCCCTTCATAAAAATATTTTTTAAGTATAGGGCATTTATTACTCTACTCTAATAAATGTGAAGAAATACCTATTCCTGGATGGAAAAGGACATGCAGGTTATGATTATTATAATAGTTTTACTAACTCAAAAGGATGCCACTCACAACTGTAGACCTTCTTTTCCCCACCCCCTGTATATGTGTGATCCGTTTTAAAATTGGTGGGGAAAAGCCTTCTCATTATTCTTTTCCAGATTTTGTTGATGATCTTACACATTTATTTTAACAGGAATTTTAAAAAATAATTTGGTCAACACATCAATTATTAAAAATCCCAAGCTCCTAGAATTTCATAATAATTCCTTTTGGGTAGAGAACTGATAAATTATATGATTGATTCTTTCCACCCAGGAATAGGCATTTCTCCACATTTATTACAGCATTTTAAATGCTCCACAGTAGAATTTTAGAGTGTTCTTCAGAGAGGTTGTGTGTGTTTCTTTTTAGGTTTACGACTATGAGTTTTACATTTTCATGAGGATATTTTCCATTGATTTTTTTAGAGAGCATCAGGAGGAAAGAGAGAGAGAGAAAAATATGCGTGCGAGAGAGACATATCAATTGGTTGCCTCCTGTACGTGCCCTTGATCAGAATTGAATACAGGACCCTTTAGTCCATGGACCAATGCTCTATCCACTTGATTCCCAGTCAGGGTACATGCCAGGTTGTGGGTTCAGTCCCCAGTCTGAAGGGATGTGTACTAGAGGCAACCAATCAATGTTTCTCTCTCACATCAATGTTTCTCTCTCTCTCCCTCTCCCTTCCTCTCTCTAAAAGAAATCATTTAAAACATTGAAAAAGACAACAAAATGAAGCAAGGCCATCAATGTTTTCTTCTTCCTCTTAGCATTCACAGTACTAAGAAATGGGTGTCATTGGTTCTGAAACAACACATATATCCAATCTTTAT